AGTCGAAACACACGATCCTCATCATTGGTGCTTTCATTGAGAGGTGTTGATCGTGTGTTTTTCTTCTACCCCATTCCCTTTCTTTTTCTCTTCAAATTTTTTCGTCCCCCTTATCAAAAAAATAAAATAAAATAAAATAAAATAAAATACATATTTACGTTCATCATCATCATCATCATCTTCCACCATGAGTCCACAAAGTAAAGAACGAAGAGAAGAGAGAAAAGCCATTGTCAACAAAGAGATGAAGGACAAGATCGATAATCTCGATGTCCAATGCCGCAGCATGAGCGAGGCTATCGAAACGTTGGGTGAAGGACTCGGCAATACCAAATCCACGGTGCAAGATCTAATGGAAACCATGAACCGGCGATTTGATGAGATGGCGCGCACGGTACTCGATCGCCTGCCGCCACCGCAGCAGCGCGATCAGGCGCGGCGACACGAGCGCGAGCGGGCCGAGGGTGAGGATCGGCTTCGCGAGGAGCGGGAGCGCGAGGACAACCTCGATCGGCAGTCCCAGGCGTCCACGTACCACGAGCGCCCGAGGATCGACAGGCCACGCATCACGCTGTCCACGTTCACGGGCAGCGATCCGGACGCATGGCTCCACAGGGCGGTACAATATTTCAAGCTTAATAAAACAGATGGTCCCGATCGCGTGAGGTACGTAGCTTATTATCTCGATGGTGAGGCCAACGTATGGTGGCAGTGGCTCACTAGGATCTACCGCAAGCGCCAGCAAATTATTACTTGGGATGTTTTTGAGCGAGAGTTGCTTACGCGATTTGGTACGTCCGATTATCATAATTACAATGAGGCTCTTACGCGCATACGACAAACAAGCAGCCTACGCGAGTACATTAGGGAGTTCGAGCAATTGGCTTGCCGCGTGCGCGACTGGCCGGAAGAGGCACTAGTTGGCGCGTTTATCGGCGGATTGAAATTCGACTTGGCTGCTGAGGTACGGCTCGAGAGGCCCGACACCATGCATGACGCGATGGAAGTGGCCCGACGCCGGGAGGACCACCTGGTTGCAACTCGAAGGGGACGGGCGGACGCCCGGATTCCCGACGCACGTCGCACGGGCCCAAGCCAAGTGCCCACGGTCGTTCGGCCTGCGGTCAATACACGGCCAGCGGGGGCATTAGTCCGGCACCTATCGCCAGAGGAGGTCAAACGGCGATGAGAGAAGGGTCTCTGTTTTAAGTGCGAAGAGAAGTTTACCCCAGGGCATCAGTGCAAGCAAGCATTTGTCATTGAGGTGTCCAACCCGGACGACAAAGAGAATGAAGTCGAGGAGGAACCGCCTCAAGACGACGAGACTGAGGACTTCAGGGATGAGCCTGAAATCTCGATGCACGCTATGGCCGGGATACGAGGTCCACGGACTATGCGCTTACCAGCTTGGGTCAAGGATCGAAAGGTGATGGTGCTCGTAGACAACGGGTCATCTCACAACTTCATCAACGCCGAGTTGTCTCAAAAATTAAATTTGCCAACTATGAATATTGAACCCTTTGAGGTAAGGGTAGCCAACGGGGAGAGGCTGCAATGCACTAAGTCCTTCCGGAAGGTACCAATCAGGTTTAGCGGAGTTACGATAAAGGCTGATCTATATGCCTTACCCCTGGTTGGACCAGATGTAGTGCTGGGCGTCCAATGGCTCGAAGGACTGGGCAAGGTAACGACCGACTATCGGACAGGAATTATGGAGTTCAACTCCAAAGGACGTCAGGTCACCCTCAGCACCAGCAC